GGTGTGTGTGTGTGTGTGTGTGTGTGTGGGTGTGTGTGTGTGTGTGTGTGTGTGTCAGAAAACGATTTAAGGCATTCAGGTGTGTTTGTCTTCATATTTTCCTTTCAAAAGTCTAATTACAGACTTGTTTACTCAAATGAAACTAGATATGATTAACTGTTTGCTCAGAGTTTTCACGAGAAAAATGAAAACTGTAAATATTTACTGTAAAAAATGACACGTAAAAGACGTCACAGACTGTTTTTCAGGTTTCCAGGACTGGATTATTTTTGAAACAATTTCAAATGATTTATTTGTTTCTTTTTACCTGCAGGGTGAAGACAGGGGCTGTGGCAGCTTGGTGGCCACTGCTGGGGTCTCATGATCCGGAGGCTGCACGTTCAAATCCAGGTTGCGTCAGGAAGGGCTTCTGGTGTAAAACGATTGCCAAATCCTATGTGGCAACCCCCTGTGGAGGAAAGCATGGCAACAACAACATTTGCAGGGTGAAGACTTAAACTGGAGATGCAGTTTGACCACAAGAGGATGGTTTCCACCACATTCAGTCATCCTGACAAGTGGAGGGGAAAACACCTCAGCACAACTTGTCTGGTAGGGGTTACCATCTGTGTGTGTTTCTGTGCTGGTCTGATCAGCGCCTTCAGGTGGCACCTGTTGTGCTATTTTTTTAAATCTCACTGCCAGTTTACATACATTCACATACTAAATTATACAAAATCCTGCTGGCACAATATTTATTCTAAATGTAACCCTCTGGTCTGTGGAAGATTTGTATTTGCATCAGATTTTTGTCAATAATCACAGGATAAAACCCTGAGTGTAAAATGAAAGCTTAAGAGTCAGAAAATATAAAGAGCATTATCTTGCACGCTTTCCAGTTTCCACCTTTCTCCTCCAATTCCTGCTCTGTATATCAGTGGATTCCCTGTTGCAGGTTGACAGACAGTGAAGGCAGCAGCAGCAGGTTAGACTAATCAGCTGAAGTGGAGTCTTTTCATTCATCAAAGACCAAAACATCAATAATAATCATGTCATTGTGACAGAGTAAAAATGCAAGTGTCCCCACTGGAACCTCATTTGTTACTTTCTGTGAACGTGTAAGGTTAGTGTATAAAACGTTTGCCCAATCAGAGATGGTCTGGCATCAAAATGAAACCCACACACACACACACAAAAACAAAATGTAAACACTACATCGTATCAGAGTCCATATATGGTCGAAGGTCGAAGTTGTGGCTGCAGAACCGGCACAACCCTGTCTGAAAGTTTGTCACTTCATTTATAATTTACAGTTTGTTTATGTCTGCTTCAAAAAGTTGTTTATGCTATTATCTTTTCCTCTGGATATGAGCACCAGTGACCCTTGTGACCCAGAAAGGAAGAAGCGGGTAAAGATGGGTTTGTCTCAGTGGCTGTGTTGTTATGAGCGGTGTTTAATGCTCACTTTGAAGCGTCGCGTTAAAAAAAGGTTGATAGAAACAGCTAACATGGACAAAAAGCTTCAACGCTCGCTATAGGTGGTTTGTGGATTTTCTGAAAAAGAGTTAATGTGCAAAAGGAGAGTTGGAAACACTTTTACAGAATAAGATCTGACATAGAAAACATTTCCACATAACTGATCAGGATATTCCTGGATATTCCCCAAAATATTGCATTTCTTTCTCTACATCTCTGGGCACCATGTAACTTCGCCAGTACTAGTTGATATGACAGAAGAATTAAAACTTGCCCGAAAGCAACACATTCATCAAAACTAATCTCCATTGTCCCGTGATGTGTGATCCCTGCAAGTCTGTGACCTCTGCTTCCTGTTTATTACAGCTTGGTTGATTTGCTCCAAACCAGTAGATGGAAACATACCCAATTCTTTTTTTTCCCCCTTTTTCTTTTTTTGCGACATTTTAAAGATTCGCTCAAAATTCACATTACAATTGGTTGGAAACATGGCTTCTGAGACTATCGTGGTTAAGAAGGTCCAACAAAACTAACAACAAAAATAAAAAATAGATAAACAAAAAAACACCAAAGACACTTCATACTTTATATACATAAAGGAAACATTTTAATAAAATAGTTCAACTTATAGACAAATGTCTGAAAATGATTAAAGGCAGAAATCGCACCGTTTTGCCCACCGGTGGACCTAGGACTGATAAAGGGATGACTGCCAAGATATCAAACATTTTTACTTGTTTTTAGCTGATTTAGTAAAATTTTGCAACATTGCATGAAATTGTTCAAATCATCATTTTAAAGTCGTGACCACACTGGTGACAAACTCATCATTTTTCAAATTAAGGTAATTTTAGTCTAAAACTAAAACTCTAGGTGGATCAGGCATGGATGAGGGCGCATGTTTGTCCCCAGTTCAATGTGGCAACTCTGTCAAGTAAAACTGTTTTAAATGTGCTGCGCACCGTCATGCAAGGTGTGTAACTGACCAGTCATGTGAGCAGTGTAGCTGGTGGTGCGCAGTGAAAAATAAAGTGCAAACATACCACTATTTTGAGCTTTATGAAAAAAATAAATAAAAGGAGGTCTCTGAAATGCATCAAAGTGAACCGACTGAAAGACAAGCTGGAAATGATTATCATGGCAGAATGCATTTTATGTTGTGGTATGTTGAAAAACACTGAACTAATAATAACAGATTACCTTTATTGTATCAGTCTACCTAACATAATACGTGTTAACCTATTAATTAATTGTGTAAAAGAAAAATTAAAATAGAGGAAATTTGGCAATTTTGTCTATGTTTTATGCCAATCTAAACTTATTGGCTGCTGTAAGGACAAAGTTTTGTTTGGCACTGTTTTTTTTAGAAAAAAAATCTTACTGGTCTTATTAATAAAAAAAGGATCCATTGCATTCAAATATAAATACTGTGCACTGTGTGGAAGCATATGTATAAGTTATGGTGGCAACTTGGTACCCACTTCCAAAAAACTAGACTACTACATTGGTGAAATCTATCATTTTAATTCTTACTATTCTATTGTTAATAATGGGATTGTAATTAATACAGCTGCAAATATACACACATATATTTACACATACAGTATTTAACAGCAGCAGCAACAAATGACAATTTGGTAGAAATAGACACTGCAGAACAGCAGCCATCAATGTGCAGCCTGTTGCTGGTGGATGGGTTTATATTTAGAAAATAAGCCATGATGCTTCATTTAGCACATTTCTGTGTGTTTTTGTGAAAGCCTTCACCCAAAATAATGAATGTACCCTGCAGACACCAGCCCCTGTGGTTTAGTCAGTGCTGTGCTTTTAATTCCCTCAAGTAAAAAAAAAAGTGAAATAAAAAAATTTCAAGCAGACACGTGGAGCTATTTTCTGCCCTGCGACATGATTTAATTAACCGACTCCCTTCGGTGTGGGTGCGTGAGAGCATGTGCAGCTCAACTGTTTTGAGTCATAATCAAACACGCGCACAGATGCACACATATTTGTTTCCATAACTTCAGAGGGCATTAGATTGATTTACATCTGCTTCTTGGAAACGGTGCGACGAGAACCAACATTTTCTCCACTAATGTTTTTACCCTAAAATTAAGTGGATTGTTTTAAGTACTTTGTTTTCTTCGTTTAAAAAAAAATACTGGCTTTCCTTAAATTTGATCTTTAAATCAAATTTTGCCCTCACAAGATGAGTGGTGGAAAAAGGAGTGGTTAAAAGGATAAAAGCCGCAGATGTTAGTCTTCCATTAAAAAAACGTTTCTAGCAGAAGCGCCTCTGTTCTTCCACTTGTTTTGACAGCTGTGTGGACTTTTGCAGGAAAAGCTCAGAATTACTGTTCTGTGTTCCAGTTGCCTGGTTCTGATTTTTCTCGGGCCCAGTCTTATTATCACCATCTCTGTTGCGACATCAGAAAGGAAAAAGCCAATGAAACAATCTCTCAACCTTGTGATCTTTACGAGTGCAGCAGGAGCAGAACTTTGCATTTACACAGGAAAACTGATATTTGCTTAATAATTTTGCATGAAAATTAATAAATTAAATGAAATTATGCAATGCTAATAAAAAAAAATGCACAAGCAACACAGTTTGTGCACAAGAAACCTAAATAAAATAAACATATCTAAAATATTTCTTTAAAATATTTTTTCCTTGCCCTAAATAAGATAAAATTGGTTAAACAAGGAGTTGCAACTTTAGTCATCTAATGAGTCAAGGAGCAATCAGCAGTGAAGACAAAAGTTATATTTTGAGACAAGACTTCTTCTAACATTTCAAATGTTACTGCATGGGAACAACAGTTATGTTTGTTTCTGATGTATTTACACGTTTTGCCTCATTTGTGCACCAAAAACAGAAGATGATAAGCAAAGTTGTGACAACATAAAACCTTTAATCTTGAGAAAAGAACAGGGAAGTGAAAAAAACAAATAAAAAAGCTCATTATTTCCGTACATTCACTGACTTTAGGGTCATGGAGGCAACATGCGAAGGAGGGAAACTCAGACACCCTTTTACCATGACACTCCATCTCTAGCTCTTCTTGACGGATCCCAAAGTGTCCAAAGAGAGGATAAAGATCTACATGTTTCATACAAAGCTGCAAAATCAGCTCTGATTGTCGCAGTTGCGTGACAAAAATGTGTTGTTTTGTTCACAGAGCAGCTTCGCCCTCCCCTACTTGACACAAGGCTCGGGCTGGATGCAGAGTATTGTGTGATTGGCCAGAAGTTTGTGTGCGTGTTTGTTCATGCAGAAAAGCGTTCAGACAACAATGGTAGCATTTTGCTTCAGCTATTTTGCTTCCAGAGGCTGTTGTTTGTCCAAGAAGCATGGATAGTTCTTGAGGAGCAGTTATCCGACACTGTCAAAAAGTACACCTGAAACATGAGTATGTATAAAGTCAGTTCAGACAATTATAAAGGTCAAATGATCAAAAACTCCTGAATGCACCGATGTGCACAGAGGAATCTGTCTGCTGACAAGTGTGATGCACTCTCGTGACAAACCTGTGGCCAGACGACGGATATCAAAGTGGAGCCTTAAAGCAGCACGGCGGCTCAGTGGTTAGCACTGACGCCTCACAGCAAGAAGGTCCTGGGTTTGATCTCTGGTTTGGACCTGGGGTCTTTCTGAGTGGAGTTTGCATAACCTCCTCATGCTCACGTGGGTTTTCTCTGGGTACTCCGGTTTCCCTGACACCCCAAAACATGTACAATAGGTTACCTTCAGGCCCAGGTCTTCTTTGAAAAAGAGATCTGCGGTCTCAATAGGTTTTGCCTGGTTAAACATTAAAATAAATAAAATAAAAGTGAAAAAAGGTGCGGTGACATTAGCAGCAGGAGGGGTTTCTCAGGAGCCCTGGAAGCTTCTTAACTGATGTCCAAACTTATCCTTCCTTTTGATGCAGAGGAGAAACAACTCTACTCTGAGCTCCCCTTGAATGAGCTCCTCACTCTAAAGCTGAACCTAGAAAAAAAATCTTATTTCAGAACCAGGTACCAGGGTTCTCTTTCTTTCTGTCATGATCCACAATCACAGATGACAGAGACGGAAAAATAAATTAAAACTTTCATTTTAACCAGTATTTGAACTCTTCCACCTCAGACAGAGACTAAAT